TATTATTATTATTATTCACATTATTATTATTATTAAGAACATCAAATACATAATCTTATAATTTTTTGTCAAATCAAAACTTTATATGAATTTATGTTTAAAATGAATTGATTTTTTTATCATGTACGAAGATGTATGTATCAATATATGTTTATCTAATTATGTATAATGTTTTCATTGTTTCAGATGCGGAGATTGAGCTTATTTCACTTTGGATAAAAATATTGCATGACAACAACTTAAATCACCAAACAAATGCATGCTATAGAATATTTCGATATTTATTTTGAGATTTTAAAGGATTTAAAATTGTAATGTTGAAGTTCTTATAAAAAAGTTTGGATTATTTTTATTTGATGTCATTTGAATTTGTGAAACTTATTATACAAATTTATTTAATGAAATTTGATTTGCTTTAAATGTGTTATTTACAAAAAATTATTCATTCTTTTGAAGACCTGATGAAAATAAAATTCCATATTTATTGTTAAAATAATAATAATAATAAAAAAAAAAAAAAAAAATTTGTAAGATTCCACAAATCAAATTATATATTTAAATATTAATCTCATGTCATGACAAATTTAAATCCACACAAATTTAATTTTTAAAATATTGAGATCATACTGTGAAGGTTCTAAACTGTCACAAAATGATACTAAAAAAACCTCCTCAAATTAAAAGTCATTTTGTGGGGAGCGTCGTGGAGGTTTACTAAAACCGCTGCAAATATGCTCGTGGCGAGGGTAATTGTAGCGTTTTTAGAAATCGCCACAATTTAATTTGTGGGATCCCAAAACCGCCATAAATTGATAAAATAACCCCCACAAATTGAGCATGTTTTTGTATTGAACTATCTGACAGATATACAAATACAATCCACCTTTCTCCACTCTCTTGCTAGCCTCTCACCTCCATCTCTCAATCTCACTCGTCTTTTTCCTCCCTCTAACATGTAGCTACAAATTGTAATTAGCAAACTATATCTATATAGCCTAATTTATTTATTTTTAGTGGTTATTTGTGAAATTTCTCCTAACTAGAACCATCAATATGGGCTAGGTATGTTGGCTAGCTCATTTCAATCTGTGATTTTTTTTTTATTATTTGATAGAATTGAACTAAAAATTTGAAGTCTATTTCAGAATAGGGGTTTTAAGGCCGGCTTGTGGGACTCGAGCACAATGAGTTGGATCGGGTCGTGGGACTTGAGCACCATGAATAGAATATTAAAAATAAGTAAAGAGCAAAAAGATTCAAAACTCAAAGTCTACTTAAACCCCCTGAGCCTACACCCTGGACGGGACTGGCACTCGAGAACCATTTATGTCCCCAAGAGAACACTTGGCTTGGCTAGACTCTCTGCGGAAGACTTTAAGCATTATTACAAGGATCAAATGCATTTATAAAATAACTGTATCAATTTAAACTCAGAACGTTTAAGGATAAAACATTTAAACTTGCCATAGATGGCAACTCAAGTCTTATAGCAAAACATCTTAAATACAAGACTAAAGAACTATGACTACTTGTCTATGAAGCCTCTAAAACAAAGAGGGATGTCGGGACAAGACCCCCCATCATCCTAACAACTGAAATACTAAAGCAATGTAAAAGGAGTCCTCCGAAAAGCAAAGAGGCTCACCAGCTGACTTTGAGTGCTCAACTGGATTAACGAGGCATTGGATGCTAATCCTGGTTACCTGTGTCTGCATCATAAAATGATGCAGGCCAAATGCCATCAGTACATTGAATGTATGAGTATGCGTGGGGAATACTAAACAAGACATAAGCTTGAAAGGAATTTGAAAAGAATACTTACCTTGGCTTTACTTAACTCATGAATAACTCAACTCAAATGCAAAGTAAAAACAACAATAATGGTGCAGTTTATACAAAACATCTAAAACAATAGGTGATAACTCAATGTATTAAAGAGATACAATAACAACCCATTTTACTCATATATATAATAAAGTAATATAATACTGTGGGAGTTTCTCTAACCGACAACCACCACTATGAGCCTAAGTGATGATACAACGTCTCGCCCACACTGCCAGAACTGTCCTATACTTTGCTGTCATATAAAACGCCTCAACTAAATGGATCCACTAGTCTATGCTAAAAAGCACTAATGAGTCATCTAAAAAGTATGATCTTTTCTACCCATGATAGCTACATGGTTTATGGAGACTTGAGTTATTATGAACTCGTCCCCACATCGGTGCTCAATACTACTCCCAAAATATACTCAGCTCATATGTTTTAAAAACAAAACTCTTTATTTGGTTTGAGATAATTAGTCAAAAACTAGCTCAAAAGCTCTCTTGAAAATCAGTGTTTCCTCTCTTGTTTAAATATGAAAACATTTACTCTTTGAGAATATTTAGTTCTCATATACTCTTTTTGAAGAAATGAACTTCATTTGTTACTCTTACTTAACTCAAAACTCAAGTCTTAAAAGAAGATTAAAACATTTGTAAAAGACTTCTTGAAAAGACTCTATGAACTTTCTAGACTTGGCTCTTAACTTTCCTTGAATTTGAATTTTTTGGATTCAAGGTTATGATTCAAGTTTATGGATGATTTCTAAGTGTTTAGAAGTCTTTTAGAGTAGTTAGAATCAATAGGAAGTGTTAGTACACTTTAGAAGGACTTAAGGCTAAACGATGAAAAACGGGTGGGGGCAGACGACCCGGGCGCGCCGCGCCAGCCCCTAAGTTACTGGGACTCATTTCTGGCGCACCGCCCCAGCCTTCCTGGCGCTACGGGGGCGTGCCGCTCCAGCCCCTCCCCAGGCAAACCCGATGAACTTTTCAACTCGTTTTCTGATTTAAATTTAACTAAACTCGATCCCTTTTCTCAAATTCTCTTCAAAATTAGATACCCAAAACATATACACAAAAATCTAACTTAAACAACTCAAGGAATCAACACTTTAATCTCAAGGAACTCCTCAATCTCAACCCAAATTCAAGAACAAAAGCAATTCAAGAACACCCATCAAGAACATTCAAACTTCCAATCTTTTTAGAACGAATTCACGCTGAATTAAACATGTTTGGCACGTGGGTGAACAAACCCAACGTTATGAAAGTCTCACATACCTTGTAGGATCAAATCTTTGACGAAATCCGTAATCAATTCCTTACAAAGATGACGAATCTTGATTTTTCCTCTTCTCTTCTCTCTAAAGCCCTAGCGTGAATTTTCAATTGTGTAAACTGAACCAATTCAGTTTTGACCCTAATTAATTTACTAAAAACGAATTAAATCAAGTGAGTATGGAAAAGACCAAAATACCCCTTAATAAACCGGTTTTGACTTTCCTTATCTAAACAACCCGACTTCCAATGGGAATATCTTCCTTGTACGAACTCGAAATTGAGAAAACTCGGTGGCGTTGGAAAGATAAATCAAAGATCTTTCCTACGGTATCTGGTAACACACCTAACTCACCCTGAGCTAGGAGTTATGGTCGTTTGAAGTTGACCCAAAACTCAAACTTAACATAACTTAACCAATTTTTCCAGATTTTTCATTCTTTCCAAAAATGACTCTTTCTAGTTCTTTCAATTAGCGAGATGTTACATAGATAAACTGATATAAGTAAACGAAAATTATTCAACTATACACATTTGTTGATTTAAAATATACGACGAATTGTATACAATCTAATATAATATGGAGTAACATATACAAATTGATATAAGTCAACGAAAAATTATTCAATTATACATATTTGTTGACTTGAAATATACAATGACTTATATACTAACTATAAAATATGCAATATGCATAGACACATAAACACGCACAAACAAACTTAATGTGAAATTCGATACCAATTACATACATCTACAAATGATTTTCAAGAAAATTAACTACTTCATATAGAATGTTAATACGCTTAAAACTATTTTAAACTTATAAATAATACACAATTCAAACGGATATTCGTTGTCAATAACATAACACTGCAAATTAAACATAAATTAACCAAAAAAATATATGAAATATATAATAATTGAATGTGGTCAGAAAAATATATAACTTGTAATGGGTAGATTGTTGTATACAAACCAACAAAAAAATCAATGAATTATGTTCTAATTCTGAAGAAATTTCAATATAATGAACACAATGAGTACTTTGTATTTCGTCAAGAAGGAGAAGTCTTATTTGGTAACGTATTCTAATTGAACTAAATGACCTTTAATTAAGGCATTATTTTCCTTAATTACCGCATAATTAGTTATATATAATTAAACATGATATTATATAATTATTTTATTAAAAAGGCGAAATATACAAATCTGATTGGCTAGCTATTTAAACTATTACTATGATGTGTAAATAGGCAATTTGTGATTAAGGAAGCCTAAGACTATAGCTTAAATGCTACTTCCATAGAAGGAAGGATTTAAACAAAAGGAGAGGCCAGCAATAACTTTTTCGAATGGTTATAAAAAAATTAAAAACACGGGAGGTATACATAATACCGTAAACCACAAGGAAAATGAGTGTTATAGAGCGAAACCTCAAGGGATATCTATGAAATTATCCCAATTTTATAAAGTATAAGATTGGATATTTACATAATTGTCTATTACAGTTAAATTATTCATCTGATCATATCCATTAAAGTATATTTACCCGTTATTCACTCTTTTTTAAGCGTCAAAATGTGAACCAAAAACAAAGTTACCTCTAACAACTCAAATCGAAACCGTGCCAAAAACATGATATTAGGCCCCAAATTCAAATGTGAGATCTTTGTATTAAAGAGCAAAGCCAAATCGACTTCAAATTCTAGACGCTTAAATAAACACTAATAACATATCTCGATGCATGTGTCCTTTTCTACAACTTCCCAAAATTTCCCTTTAACATCCACAGACTCCAAGCCACCTTTCATTCAAAGAACTCGAAGCTACATTACACATGGCAAGTCTCTATGAGTGAAAACACAAAGGACATAGATCAACTTAATTATAATTAATTAATAAGAAATAGAAGCAACGTTACAATACATACATCAAAATACAAGATTTTAACATAAGTGACTTATAGTAATAATCCAATTTTTATTGTGCGTACTCCATAGAACTATAGAATTAAGCACGATTGCTAGCAAGTTGTATAAGCATTGGGATTAGCCTTAGGATTTGATTCAATACTTTTAGTCCTCTGGAGATTCGTATTAGTCGTCGTCGGAGCACGATGAAGCCTGCATCTGAATGAACCTGCATCACCATTAAAACGAGTTTAAATTATACACTGACAGTATAAAAAAATATTTGCTTAATCAATTTTTTTTAAAAAAAATTACCAACACTAACTTTGTATAATACGTACAATGATGAACCTAACTTTTGGACACAACTCTTTCACTTATATTTTAAAAAAAATCATACAAATATACTAAGTAAACACTAATGATTTTGTCTGAAATTTTCAGATTAAAAGTGATTGAGCATCCATAGTTTATAAATTCCGAATTTGCTTCTGAGTATGTAAGATCGATTGATATTTTAGCATAAATAGTAAAGTAATTTGTTAGCACAAATAAAATTACATTGAGAATGTTAAAAAAAATTATTACATTGTTAGTGTATATAACTGTACTTCGATTCTTACTTTATTGAAGTTTAATTTTTTTTAAAAAGGAACCTGCATGAGTCGTCGGAGAGCAAAGACAACTGTTCTTGGACATACTTCCTTGCCTTGCTAATCCTCCCGTCGTTACATTTTCCGATGTCGGCGATATATTTTCCGGTTCCGTCGATGAATTAATCTCCACTTTCATATCCTTAGTAATAATTGCTCCAGCTTCCATATTCCCTCTTCTAACTGAAAAAAAAAAAAAAAAGATCACCAAATTTCATTTTAAAAAAAAATTACAACTCAATTCACTAAGATGAGTACTAATACGAAATTAAAAGAAGGTGGAGAATATTTCGTTTTCTCTATGATTAATATCTTTTTTTTAAAAGAAGAAAAGATTTTCAAATCTCATAATTTAGGATGATGGCCTTGATTTTGAACTTACTTGATCTTGGATGTGTAAGAAGTTGTTTTTTTAGCAATATTATTGGGGTATGGCTTTTTAAATAAAGATAAGAACTTTGGGAAAAGGGAAGTTATAGTTCAACAGGATTCATGAGGGTTATCTTATTCCTTTTTTTCGATTTTTTATGTCCGAAGTCCGTATTGGAGCCTCGATTAAATTTGATCATGCACTATATAATTAATTCGGAAGTGGCTTTCCTGACAAGATTTTTTTCATATTCAGAGTTTGAACTCAAAACTTCTGATTAAGAGTGAGACAGTCTTACCACTGCACCACAACCCATATTAATTTCATAAGGATATTTGGTTGTGGGTAAAACTAAAAGGATAAGGGGAAAAAAAGTGATGGGAGTGCAGTATAATAGTAATTAAAGCAAAGATTGCTATAGTCATATCTATTTATTATATAAATATAATAACATAATACAACTTTCATCTTTAATTCAAATATCTTTAGTCTTTTTCTTCCTTTGGTGTCACGAGACATATAATCAACTCCATAAAATGTCCCATCTGCATCCAAAATTTAAATCACTTTATGGTCATCACTCAACCACTCCAAATATCCAATATCAATACAAGAAAACTTTAATCTATTTCCTATTTTTTTTTTAGAATATTTTGGATTAGGGTACGTGGACTTGTGGAGAAAAAAATATCATTACTGAAAACTATATATGACATTAGCTAGGAAATTTATCGATAATCATCAAGTAATTCATGATAAAGATCTTCTAATTGATTAATTAATTTTTCTTATAAATTATCGCTAATTAATAGCTAAATGGGATAAGGTTGAAATTTTTATTTCTAATAAAAAGTGTATAGAAGTTTGAGAGCATTTTGTGGAATGTAGTGCAAGAAAAAGCTCTTTTTGTTTGTTCATTTTTTATACAAAATTTATTGACCAATTAATCTAAAGTTACATCAAGTAAAAAAAGCTTTCAATTAAAAGTGGATAGATGTTATTCATTTTATCACATTTTTTAATGTCGAGTAAGATAAAATTACAACTACTTTGTCAACCACCTTATTTCTTTAATTCTTCCTATCGTTTTTTTTTAAAAAATAAAAATAAAAATTGCTTTGTTTTAATCATGATGAATATAATAAGGTTACGTTAGAGCACTTTGTTTCAAAGGGGTCCCAAAACTGTTATGATGGCTTGGACATTACAATCCCATGGATGGGTTCTCGAATATTATAAAGGACCCCCTTTCTCACATCATTTTATTTGGTCTTAGCAAAAAGTAAGTTTTAGAATTATTATTTTTATTCGGTGTTCGATCAAAATATTTGTATTGAACCCCGATTAAATTTGAATTCGCGTTAGAAAATTTTACATTGGGGAGGGGGAGGGGTAAAACACTCCCTAACAAAGATAATTCAGTACCTATAGGGACTCAAATCTGAGAGATCTGAGTAAGAGTATAAAGGAGTACTTACCATTTCACTACAACCCTCGTTGGTAATCATGTTTCTTTCTGGCTTGGGGAGGGGGTTGGTCTTCTCAATTTGTTTCAACCTAGATACAGGAGTCCATGCTAGCACGAGTTTAATATATATTATTTTTTTATTTAAATTTATGTGATATAGATAGAATATGGAGAATTAATTAAATTTGTAAGATGATTTTAAAATATTTTAAATTAAATATTATAGTAATTTATAATACTTTTTGTGTACTTTTCAAATAATATATTGATGTTATCATTTCTTTCCAAATTTAAGCAGAGGTGGAAAATAAGAGAAGGTAAGGAAGGATTGTATACTTTTGCTAAGAGGAAATATAAGTAACTAGTTCTCAAGTATGCAAAGTATTCATTTTATATATATGATTTTTAAAAAAGAAGTAATTAGACATGTATCAAAATCAGACCTAGAAAATGTCGGTCTTTTATGTATATATCACGTTGTATATGGTTCATATCACACACATTATCATGGAAATATATTCATAAGAATTCAGATAAATAGATACAAAATGATATACATAGGATACTACGGGAGCTCAAAAGTGCAGATTTTACGTATTCTAAAAGAATGCAAAATTTTAAAAATAGAAGTTGTGATTTGTTGGGTTTTGGCCATCTTGGCCTCAAGAAATTCGGTTTCATATTGATTTTTATTTTTTTTGTGTAAAAAGTTGATGATGCAGAATAGTAAACATTTAGCCTATATAAGGTACTACAGCTATAGTTTAAGAAAATTATAATTTGCGGCTATAGTTTTCTCAATTTTGTTATTCACCTGATTTGTATACATCCAGAATTTTGTATATGTTTACCCTAGCTATTTGAATACGAATGAAAAATTCATAATAAATTACTCTGTTTGTATATTGGCAAGCGAAATATACAAACGGAGTTCTGAAAAATTCCTAAATGTATAAATTCAAAATTTGTATATACTTACCCTATGAGTATATTCGCAAGCAAAATATACAATCAAACAGAAATATACAAACAGAAGCCTCCATAGCAAACAGAACTATAACTTTGGAGTTCAATTATCAAAACTATAGGTATAAAGCGTTATTATGTTTGTTATTTCGTCCTTCAAATTAATGCATGCCCAAAAAAGGGTCTCTGGATGTACAACCAGATATGGGCCTGCCTGGCCAAACTTTCTAAAATCAGAGTTATTAGTATTTTCAGCCCAAATCACAATTTTCTAGGAATTCAGTAAATGGCCAAAGCGAAGTTGGGCCTGTTCGGCCCAAAGTATATTTTCAGAAAACATTGTTACAGAGGCTTGAACTGTTGCAAATTTTCAGAACTCATTGGGCCATGCGGCATGCCCAAATCTTTCTTCTTCGTAAATTTTCGCAAATAACCACTATAATAAATATAATTATACTTCATAGCTATAGTTTATATATTTACTAGTTGTAGCTATAATTTAAGTTGTCTCATTTGTATTACTCGTGAGTTTGTATGATTCACTGGTACATTTGTGTAATTGAATTATTTTTGTATAAAAACGGATGAATAAATTTATACAAACGCAAACATCTGAACTTTAAACAGTTCTACAAATTATATTATACAAAATTCAAATTATACAAACGTGTGAATTATACAAAGTAAAACACTAAGCCGCGTAATTATATCTAAGAGTAGATCACGAATTATAATTAAAGAAAACTGTAGCTGTATTAACTAATTAACTGATATATGTCTGTTTATCCGCATAATTTTACCTTCTTGAAACTTCTCACCAATAGCAAAAGTTGGCTTCTCAAGCAAAGAAGCTGGCCCAGTTCCTCCATTCCAAAATCAAGACAAATGAAATAGATAAATCCCTTCTTGTTCAATTAAAGGAACGCCTTTTCTTAGAATAGGTAAAATTCTTCTTTAAAATTTCACTGATTTCATAAAATTAATGAGTTTACATTTCAATACAATTTAAATTTTCTAATTTATCATTAGAAATTAGATGGCAATTCAAAATCCTTTTTAAAACTAGAGAAACAAGTGAGGTGAAAAGTAAAATTAAAAAGTTGCTAAAAAGGAAAAGGTGTTGGGTTTCAAAGAATAAGGACGTCATGCGGAAGCTTACAATTGCAAATTGTGTTGGCGATAAATCAAACGAAAAATCAAAGCATACTAAAAACATATTATTAATATAGTTTGGCTAAACGGTCTACATATTATAATTGAAAAGGCATAAATATGTTTGGAGAAAATCTCCCATAAACAAAATTCTCTCTGTGGATAATTATTATTTTCTGGTATGAGAAGAAGATCTTCAATTTATGGAATTCCAAACATTTCCTACATGGAAGAGAATTATATTTTCTAGAGGTGTCAAAAATGAGTCTAATTATAGGTAACCTGTCTAGAATTTTAAGGGTTGGGCTCAAAATATTTTGAATTGGGTTCAATCTCAACCCATTTTAATAGAATCCTTAATTGAACCCAATTTAATCTGTAATTTCAACATATTTTAAGACTCTTTATTTGCATTGATATAATATATGTTTCTATATTGAAGGTATGAATTACTATCTATTTTACATCTTTTAGAATTTATCTATACATTTGTAACTTCTTTTTTCAATTTTTCTTGAGTTAAAATTCAAATTCAAATTGTGGTTATAAAACTTACATAATAATATATTAAAATTATTGAGATTAAGCGGATCAAATTTCGCAGGTCAAGACCCACCCCATTTTTAAGCTCATTTGATCTCAAAGTAAACTTGGGCGGATCAGGACCCAACCCAATTTCTATTTTAATCTATTTTAATATCTCTAATTTCAATATAACCCTTCCATTTGACACCCCTAATATTTTCCTTTCAATAATAGTTAAAGCAGTTATAATAGTAATTTGATTTTCCTTCTAGGAAAAAAAATAAAAGCTCAAATATAATAAGAAAATCAGGACAAAACTCTATAAAAAAATCATTTTTTAAAAATGAACTAAAAAAAAAACTAAAACAAATTAAAATGAAGCGAGTAACAAATATGACATGGGAACCCATTAACAGAGCGTATTGCTGCCCTCTTGGTCATCATCATATTGCCCACAAATCTCAAATTTTGAATTCGTTTCTGAACAAAATCAATATTTATCAGGGTATTAAATCATGGAAGAAAATCATTAGTGATGTCTGAGGGATTTATTGATGAACAGTGATAGACCCCATCAAAAAGAGGGATGACGACACAAATGAAACTATGAGTGGTGTAGAAGAAATCTCTAACATAATATTACTTCTCAGTACTGTATCAGTAAGTATTACTGTATATTATGTATAATAATAATATCTAAGCATTATGTCACAGCTTGCAAAATTAAAGAGGGACAAAAGCCTCATCAACTGTATTTGTTGGAACATAACTGAAGTACCCAACAATATCACTAAATAAATCCAGACATCAATTTTTTTAGCTCCATATATCTATCTACCAATATTTAATCCAAATACAATGATATTATATAGTATATAGTATAACACTATAATGTCATATAGTGACAACAACACGTACATGAATGTATTATAATATTATATGTGTACCACTACCCAAATTCAAATACTTTATCAAGTATACACAAATATGACGGAGTTAGAATTAATTATCTCTAAAAGATTTAAAATACTATAAAAGTAAATATTTGAAAAATCAAAGGAGATTTAAAACTTGTTATACATACATAAAAAAAAAAAATTGATCTTATACATACAATCATTATAACAAAAATACGTTTTAGCGACAATAAATATATACAATAACAAAGAGTGATTAAGTCTTTACTGACATTAGTTAATTTTAAAAGAGTGTTAATTGCCTCTAAAAATACATGTTTAGCGATAATTAAACTATTACCGTTAATTAATTGCAGCTATTAATCATTTTTGGTGTAGTGAGTATAATTTTTTGAAA